CATTACGCCTCGGTCGAATTTTGAGAAAAAAGTAAGGCATTAGGCTTTGAAAAATCGTCAAAATTTTTCTGAAACTTTTTCATCCAGAAACATGTTATATTGCCTTTATACAATGAGATTCAACAGGGGCTTACCTTGATTCTAGAGTAATAGCTGTATTTTTATTAAAATTAGTTACATTACGCCTCGGTCGAATTTTGAGAAAAAAGTAAGGCATTAGGCTTTGAAAAATCGTCAAAATTTTTCTGAAACTTTTTCATCCAAAAACATGTTATATTGCCTTTATACAATGAGATTCAACAGGGGCTTACCTTGATTCTAGAGTAATAGCTGTATTTTTATTAAAATTAGTTACATTACGCCTCGGTCGAATTTGGAAAAAAAAGTAAGGCTATAGGCTTTGAAAAATCGTCAATATTTTTCGGAATCTTTTTCTTCCAAAAACATGTTATATTGCCTTTATACAATGAGATTCAACAGGGGCTTACCTTGATTCTAGAGTAATAGCTGTATTTTTATTAAAATTAGTTACATTACGCCTCGGTCGAATTTTGAGAAAAAAGTAAGGCATTAGGCTTTGAAAAATCGTCAAAATTTTTCTGAAACTTTTTCATCCAAAAACATGTTATATTGCCTTTATACAATGAGATTCAACAGGGGCTTACCTTGATTCTAGAGTAATAGCTGTATTTTTATTAAAATTAGTTACATTAAGGCTCGGTCGAATTTTGACAAAAAAGTAAGGCTATAGGCTTTGAAAAATCGTCAAAATTTTTCGGAATCTTTTTCATCCAAAAACATGTTATATTGCCTTTATACAATGAGATTCAACAGGGGCTTACCTTGATTCTAGAGTAAAAGCTGTATTTTTATTAAAATTAGTTAAATTACGCCTCGGTCGAAGGTACATTAGTTACATTACGCCCTTTTCAGAACATAAAGGGTTAACCTTGTTACTGGAGTGAAGGCAAGTAAGGCTTGTTAAACAAGTAATGCTGTAAGCTTTGAAAAATCATCAAGAATTTACCTTCATTCTAAAATAAATGCTGTATTTTTTCGAATTAGGGAAGTTTTAGCTCAATTATAGTCTATAGTAAGTCTTTGTTCGGAATGCGAAACCTTCAGTTCTTCGTTTAAAATTTTAACTAAGTTCTGGAATAGATGTGATATTTTTTGTAACAGATTCAAATTTCTATACGAGTCGATTTTTGTTGAAAACAAGGCTTAGAAAATATCTAATTTTTGAAGGTCAGTCAATCAACAAGTTTGAGGTAGAAAGAGGTAGATAGTTGTACAATAACTACAGGCCGTTTAATTTTTGGTAGAAGCAGTGACCTAACGCAGATTAGGGCACCTTAGCTCGACCAAATGGGGCCCCCAAATTATTATCATATGTATTCTTTCAAGACCTTGTTCAAGATTATCTCATATACAAAGACTTTAAAAGTTTTTCAGCTGAAGCTTCTACATCTTTGCCTAGTTAACGAGAAAAACTCATCACTTTTGCAACTTGCTATTATGATTCACATGCTGTACAGCCTTCGATGGTTCTTTCTTGCAGTCCGTAAATAGGGGCCCCGTTTCAATTTTTTACTTATTGCCTCAGATGCCTCCGTTAACCACTGGATAGAAGTCACCTTTTTTTGGTCGATTTGTTTAAAATAGGCAAGCCTAAAGGGTTAGAAAAATAGCCAACATTTGAAGGTCAATTTTTCAACAAAAATATGTTATAGGTATCAGCCAGTTGAAGCTGGAGTGAGCAATATTCAGTTGCTGCAATGATAAAATATCATTTAATTTTTGGTAGAAATCACCTTTTCCTTGGTCGATTTTATAGAAAAATGGACGACATCTGAAGATTAACATTTTAACGAAAAACGTTAAATCCACAAGTTAAAGCTAGAAAAAGGTAGATAAAGACCTGGCCGTCGAGTGAAGAGGGAAGCCAAATGTTCGGGCCCCTCATACCCATACCTCATGCATAAAACTTTATTTTTTTCGTTTAAGTTGTACTCTCAAAGCAATTTTTAACTCTCCACCAGTATAGATATGAACTAGCCTGCGCGCAGACTCTAAGTATCTTACCAGAACTGTAGAGTCTGCGAATTAACCTCAAAAGGCTTGTTCCACAAAGAGAGCCTCGAAAGATACTTACCAGAACAGTTATGGTGAGATACTTAGAGTCTGCGCGCAGGCTAATATGAATTGCCTTTGTTAAATCGAGACAGTTTAATCACCATGGAGCCCATCTTTGCTTACAGTCCCAGGGGCAATTGTCCCCTTGCTTCTTTCCCTTTGGCAATTGTCCATCAGCCGTTTAATTTTCATTGCTGTTCTATAAAATATCGCGGTTGACCATTCATTGTTCTTTAGCCAAATTAACTTGGATATTGATATTTAGCATTAGTATGTTAACAAGTATATTGTAATTAATCAATTTTATGTTGAAAAAAATAGATGCAGTCGGGCAGATGGTTGGTTGGTTTTGTTGTTGTTGCTGCTGCGGGTTGTTGTGTCACAAGGCCAGCTGATGAACAGGAAGGTTGCGGAGAGCAGACGGGAAAATCGAAACGAATGTCAATGCAAAAGAAATTATGAACCTGGTAGAAGTACCTCTGACAAGCCTTAAGAGTGGGAAACTGAAATACAAACTGCTCAAACCCAGGAATGCATCCAAACCTGCACCAATTTCACCCGGAAGAGGGCCTTTGCAGGACGAAGCTTTAGAAGGCAGCAAAGTTGCAAAAGGGTTTGCCAATACACCGAAGAAAATAAACGATGAAGAGCAGATAGTGACAGGCTTGGAGTTTCCCCCAATTAGAACTTGTGAGACAGCAACAGATGAAAGATGTGTAGGTAAAGGCGATTTGACTGGAGAGGTGCAAAAGGCTGGTAATGTTTCTCATCAAGAGGGAAGAATAGGTGCAGGAGGGGCACCTGAGGCTGTGAGGCAAATATTAGAAAATGCATACGAAGATGATAATGGAGAAGGTCAGGTTTGTCAACTTTTGCATGAACAAAACACACCACGAATTTATTTCAAAATACCAGATGCAGCTGCCACAAAGGCTTCAGGTAAAAACCAGTACTGTGTACTGCAATGTGCAGACATTTCTGCAGGTGATCTACGAGTAATAACAAAATTTGGTTCCTGGGACTCAATGGTTGCAAGGATTCTTATCGAATGTGATGGGCCTATGCTTCTTTGGAAGCAGAGTAGCCAAAGCGCAAGTGCTGAGGCTTATAACAAAAATGTATGCCCTACTGCAAAATATGAGTACCTTATTTTGAAGTCATGTATGGTAAAGGCCACATTCCCAGTGGAATATATATCAATGGTTTGCAAAATGATGCATTTAGTTAAAGTTGAAAAAACAAGAGAGATTTTGCAAATAAAGGATTTGAAGAAGAGTGGGATTATTTCAAAGAGAACAAAACTTCCTTCTAAGATAAGGGAGGGACTACCTGAATGGGTTAATTATATACCGTATCAGTGGTATTCTGCGAAAATGAGAAGAGCAATAGAGTATGCTCTCATTACCTACACAATTTTGTCATTACTTTGGGCAGTATGGCAGCTTTATCGACATGTTGATTTCATTCGCTCATATTTGAAGCCTATTGTGCAATTCATTGAGCACTATCTCAGCATGTTCAAGACTTGGTTTCAGTGGATTGATGACTTATTTGCAATCCTATCACACTATTGGTGGCATTATTTGAAACCAATTATAATGCTTCTTGTTGCTGCTCTGTCTCCAATCTTTCAAATATTCAGGCCTCTCAAAGGAATAATCAATATTATACCTCACCTCTGTGCTCCATTTATACAGCTGTTCAACATGATTTACTTATTCATCAAACCAATCATAACTCCATTCAAGGCAAGCTTTGGTGTTATTTCTCAATACTTTGTGTTGGCTTTTACAACAGTTTTCTCTAACCTTATGAGCAACCCTACTGTAGCCCACATCATCAAACGAAGCAGTGAGTTTTATGTGGTGCAGCTCATCCATGAAGCTTTGCATGGGCACCTTGATCCTTTGAAAGCTCAAATGGTTGTTATCAGAGATTTGATCTTTAAAAGCTCAAGAAAGATATATTATGGCTTGAGATTTATCATGAACAAAACCTATTTCATGATACTGTTCTTCAGACGTGAGAGAGAATATTCCAACGAAGGTCGCATTTTAGAGCAAAGTGCACAGAAAGAGACAAAATTAAAGGATGAATGATTGCCAGTTTTACATTGAGTGTTAGATCAAAATTTGACATGAATTTGAAATGTTTAATTCTAAATTACTGTAGAATCTGTGTATAAGCCACATAAATTTTTGATTGTCCCATTTTGTGGATGTAGTGGTTTGTTTATGCTTCAATTGACATTTTCTAAAATCGTGATGATCCCAGCAAAGGGAATAGATATGACATTGTTTGGGGGGCTGCTTTAAGTTAGATATTGAAAAAATCTGGAAAATATTTGACATGCCCAGCGCTTGCTACTTGGAAACACCTAAGAACATCTACCAATAATGTGACTTGACCAAACCAAATGGCCAAGCTTGTACAAGTTTGGCTGTGTTTTCACTTCAACATTTTGTTTGTCATAGTTATAATTGAAAGCTGTTTGATTTTTGTCAAACAATTTCAGTATTACATTACCCGGCTAAGCCCCAATATTTTTAAACTCAACTGACATTTGGTCAGAGAGAAATAATATTTCAGGGGTTATTAAACCTTAAGCCTACATGCAGGGATGCCAGGGAAGGGATGTGTGGGGGTCCAGAGTGCCCTTTTCATTAAAGTACCCTTGAAGCCAGCCAATTGTAATAATAATCAGAATTAGTAGAAGCTGAGCTGAGAGTTATTTTTCAAATGTCCTTTTACTCAAGCCTGCCCTCCTTGTCCTTGGTCATTCCAGCATCCCTGCCTACATGGCCCTGAATACCCTTGGGTGGCTTCTGCACAAAAGAATTTTGGAAAATATGCTTATCTTGTTAAGATCAGTGTTCTGTTTTACATTAAAACAGTAAATGACTTGCTTGATGAGCTACATTTTGTTACACTTTAAATGATTTGAATTGAGTTTTAGTAATTTTCTTTTTAATTGATTTAATCAATAAATTAATTACTAATTGATTACATTAGTAAAATGCAAAGTCAAGTACTTTATGTGAGGGATCACTTCATGTGTAGAGTATCCCTTATTAAACATTCCACTAAAATATATTCATACTATGTAGAAGAAAGACTGTTTCTCAATTTCTGGTTACATTCTTGAGAACTTATTGTTAGCCTTTATTTAAGATCTAGAAATTCCAATTATTTGATGGAGTTTTTATCAGGGGGAGGGGGTACCTTAACATGCTTGGAGGTACGGGGATGTGCCATTATTTAGGGGTACCTTTTTTCTGAAAAGTGTGGAATTATCGGTATCAGTTTTTAAAATTTGTGCAGAACTATGGGTACAGTTTGAAGAAACATGCAGAATTATGGGCACCATTTTGGGAAAATATTGCAAAAACATTAAGGAGATTGAGCATTAACAAAATTAATGTCCAGTTAGAAATGAAAATATGAAATTGGTGTAATATTGAGATTTTGGGGCATAAGACATGCAAAATTTGGTTGATGATTTTTTATATGCTTTAACAATTTTATTTGGCATACCCAGAATTATCGGTATAGTTTCCATCATGTTTGCGGAATTATGGGTCACATTTTTCCAGACCTTTGCGGAATTATGGGTCCAGATTTTAAACCAAAATAACAAATTCCTGTCCAAAATTAGGCATAGTTTACCGCCCGCGAGTTTTTTCCGAGATAGTTGGACTGGCACCTAAAGTTGGATTTGGGGTAGACGAAATTTGACACACAATTACAACAAAAATAAAAACTAAAAGTAAAAGTTGTAATTAAAAAAATTTGGAACTTCAATGACGCTTCCTCATAAACATTTCTCAATTTTTGCTTGATATTTACGTAAGTGATGTGTATTGCATAGTGCGTAGACTATTGTGAGGTTGCTTTGTTGTTAGTTTTATGATTAGACTTGACTAAAAAAGTAATCAAATAAAATAAATAAATAACTAGATGATTAAATAAATAAACAAATAGCAGTAAAACTAATGAATGGGTATGGTTCCTGAGTGCAAAGACCAAGATACAACTTTTTGTTGGGGGGAGGGGGGCAGCCCTGATAAATAAGTGAACAACAGCCATATCTTGCAAAATAAAAGTATGTTACTTAAAATACTCAAATTTTTTGTGGGGGGGGGGGGGGGGGCCTGAGTGAATGGTTCCTGAATTCATCCATAGTCTCATGATTCATCTCTAGCACTTTCTCGAGATTCAAACCTTTATCAGTGGCATGCCGATGTTCGGAGTTTTGTTGGAGGGTGCACAACCCCGTTCCTTTCTGAACAAAATGTTTAAAATTTTGATGGCTTATGGGTAGAAGTGAAATTGACAAATTGGCTTGTCGATAAGTGTGGAATAAATATTACTGGAATACAGTTAACCAGTTAAGGCGCTGCAATCAGGGGCGAAAATACCGGGGGGGTGTGGGGGGTGTGACACCCCCCCAATCTTAAAATCAGCCGATTTCACAGGGCAATCAAAGATTTCGCAGGGCGCCAAGAAGAGCTTTATTGCCACGCAGAAACGCCATCTCTGAAGTTCGTAAAGGGCCGTTTACGAATTTTGAAATGGAAGTATTATCTTTGTTATCAACCTCCCTTCCTGACATTCCATTTTAGAGAACGGAACAGTTATGTCAGGAAGAGCTCCGTTATTAGCAGAGCGAAAGCATTCCTTACCGAAAATCATAGCCAATGGATGCAGTGATTGATGCATAAGTTTATGAGGGCAAGGTTGAGTCCACACAAATTAATTTAAGTTGTAAATTATTTTCATGACACTGAAGGCCCCCACTTTGGTCAAGTTAAGAATTTTTTATCCTTTTTTCTATAACTTTTTAACAGAGTGTTAAATAAAAAGAGAATAAACTGTTAAGATGCCGATTTTGTTTGATCTAATTGCTAACTTATTCATGTATTTCTATTATTTTTTTTATTTGCATTAATTCAGTAAATCAGTTTCTGTATCATTGCAATGTATTTATTTTGGAAGTGTAAACATGGCCTTTTCGAGATAAGAAACTGCACATTCTGTTTAGGAAATGAAATTCTCCCAATCAAAACAACATTGCTGTCATTCACAACTATGTGCTATCTGAAGCGAAAGGTTGCCGTTTCTTTCCTTCCCCAACATCTATCGCTAGCGTTTTAGCATGACATCCCCCTGCCAATTTTTCAAACAAACAATGATCAGTTTTTTAGCAGTATAGTATTTTGCTAAATTTTAGTCTGGGAGATGTATTTTAGCCCTTTTACAAGGTACAATTTCAAAAATTTTCTTCACGTCGGACCCAACCATGGTGGCTCCTCCTACCTCACTAAACTTGATATGCCATGAAATACAAGCTTTATTACAAAGGAAAATCAAATTTGACATTTAATTTATGCTCACGTAAAAAAAGATATTTCATAGGCAATGAAGTTTCAAGTTTGTTTTTATTGCTTAGAAGTTTGTTCTTGGTAAAGACTAATTTACACTGGTAAAGCTTTCACTAGTAACCTATAGACAAACCTTTGCTACGAGGTCTGCAGGGCACCACTCATTTTCGCAGGGCAGAAATCCTTTTCACCCCCCCCCAAACCTTTTGGTCAAGTTACGCCCCTGGCTGCAATGATAATGCTAGAATATGCAACCAAGTTTAACTATTAAAAGGGCTGCAGTGGGATGAAATGTGGTCGATGAATTGGGGAGCGATGCCACTGAAAACTGAAATCCCAACTTCACTTCTTAGGTCCTTACACGCAACATATGTTAGCCTTCATTTTAGGTTTGCTATTGTCTATATTAAGGGATTAAGCCACTAAACCTTTAGCAAAATCGAAAATAAATATGACTTTCTTATCAATCAGTCAGCTCATGAAGCATTGTATAAAAAAAAGTATCATTAGGCCAGTAGCGACAAGGATATCTTCTCTGTAAGATTTCGTTAACTTTGCGTTCTTTGCGCCTTCTCAAAATTTGAATTTTATCCTTTTATCAACTTCAATTAGAGCGCAAACGTCTGATTGGACTTTTACATGTAGTGGTTAATCTTGGTTATTTAAAGCTATAGAAAACAGTAGAAGATTCGTGAAGAATACAAGCAAGATTCATGCAAACATTTGTTATCATGACATTATTAAGCATTAGGTCTGTTTTAATTTTGCTGTGAATAATTGGATCACCAAAACATAAGTAAACATCTTTGCCACTCTTAACAACCCGTCAAATCACCGTCTTTCTGTTCTATTGTTCCTTGATTTTACCTCTACGGTCTTCAAAGTTCACATACATAACAAAAGAGCCCAGATTTTTATGAGAAGTGCATCTCATAACTGCTTATATCAACGCACCTTTATGTCAATTGAAATCTGAATCCAAGTCTTGTTTGCTTCTGCGAGTCACCAACCCTCCAGTTTGATTTCGCGTGCAGCGCTCGTCGCACCGAAACGGTATTCTTCAGAACTCTAAAACGAGAAAATATGTATTAACATAAATTACGGTAAATCTCTTATTTAAAACTCTATGGGTTCAAGAAATTATTTTTCTCAAAGACAAGAATGCATGAAAATGGCATCGATTTTGAATTTTTTGCTGTCCCACCTCATTTTAAAGTAATGAACCCTATATATACCAGTAAAGTTCCATTAGTTGAGCTAAATGGGATGACAGTCGCTGCTACAAAGAACGAGGTCGTTGAAAAGAGGATTTATCGAAAAATCAGTTATCCAGATAAAGGTTATTCTGAAGAAAAATCTCCTTCTAGAATCTAGATTTTCACATTTCCATCTCATCTTAGTACTCATATTTCAAGGAAGGAATGGGGCTGGGGTGAGGGTAGGGGCTGGGGTAAGGAATGGTTTATCGTTTCTAAAAACTTACAAGAAAACAAAGGTTTTCAATTACTTATGTAAGTCAGAAACAGACAACAATTTTGATACGAATAGACTGTTTTCCTTTGTTTAACAAACACCATCTTTATTTCTTGTCCTCCTTCATTACTTTTTAACAAATCATTTTCTATGCCTGTATTCAGATAAAAGTATTTTAGCAATGTCTTAAACGATATACTTTCTGCTGGCTTTTGATAATGAAAAGGGTATCTGGCTCGAAAGCTTTCAAGTGTTATTTCACGTTGCCCTTGTCTTTGTATTTTATCGTATATTTTTATGATTTTCTTACTGTCGGTGCTGTTGTTTTAACAAGAACTGGAGCGCAGACCAACCAACAAAACTAAACAAGTCTTATCTCAGAAAAGAAAATAATAAAAACAAACAACTATGTGTGCTGTGCTGAAACTTCGTAAAACAACACTTACCGGGTTAATTTTCGTTTCTTTTCTGCTGAATGTTTCTTCCACCATTTTTCAGCAAAAAGACACAAAATTGACAATATTCCTGCGAATACCAAACAGCCATACACACCCACCAGTTGCAGAGGTTCGATTCGCCCTTGTGATGTTACTGAACATATTGGAAAATGAAAAAAGTGAAAATCACTGTTTGTCTTTGACAGTCTGTCGTGTTGGCTCGATGCCGTGTAGGCAAAGCTGTGCACGCTTTTTGTAGTAACCTAATAGATTATGCGCAGGAGCATAAGTTCATGTGATCCATGTTTATATAGAATTTCATATTACAGTATTACAGTTATGTGTGTAGGCCGTTGAAGTTAATATAAAATTATCCTTCTGTTTTGTTCAATCCATGCGTTGTTCTATTTACTTCACA